GCATACGGATATTAAAGATAGATGCATGTATATAGATATAAAGATAAATACATACATATATAGATAGATAAAGATATTTTGATAAAAATATAGACGGGTTTATAATCATAGATAACACACACACACACACACACACACACACACACACACACACACACACACACACACACACGTTCCAGACACAAACCCAAATACTTAAAAAAAAAAAAAAAAAAGCAATTCCTATTCTCACTCATCTCCTCCTGTTTTCCTCAGCAACCGACCCGGATCCTCGGCCGGACTGGATCAAAATCTTGGTCGGGAATGTCCATTATCTCCACTTCGGCTGCATTCTGTTCGTGATCGTGCTCGTGGTCACGGTCGTCATTTCCTATCTCACGGAGCCGATCCCTGCTGAATGTGTAAGTGTTGGGGATGGTTGTTTGGTGGAGGGGGTTAGTGGGTTGTGTGTGTGTGTGTTGTGTGTGTGTGTGTGTGTGTGTGTGTGTGTGTGTGTGTGTGTGTGTGTGTGTGTGCGTGTGTGTGTGTGTGTGTGTGTGTGTGTGTGTGTGTGTGTTGTGTGTGTGTGTGTGTGGTGTGTGTGTGTGTGTGTGTGTGTGTGTGTGTGTGTTGTGTGTGTGTGTGTGTGTGTGTGTGTGTGTGTGTGTGTGTGTGTGTGTGTGTGTGTGTGTGTGTGTGTGTGTGTGTGTGTGTGTGTGTGTGTGTGTGTGTGTGTGTGTGTGTGTGTGTGTGTGTGTGTGTGTGTGTGTGTGTGTGTTGTGTATGTGTGTGTGTGTGTGTGTGTTTGTGTGTGTGCGTGTGTGTGTGTGTGTGTGTGTGTGTGTGTGTGTGTGTGTGTGCATCCATCCCCCCTCCTCTCACCCTCTCCCTCTCTCCGCCCCAACAGCTCCACCGCCTCACTTTCTGGACGCGGGAGAGCACCGAGGTGAGGGTGTCCGTCCGCGAGTGGATGAACAAGAAGAAGGACGCCGCGGCCTACACGAACGAGGGCGCGGTGGCGAACGAGGGCGGGGAGGTCGTGTCGGAGAAGGTGGTCGATGGGGTGGCGGTCGTGTCGGATAAGGTGGTCGAAGGGGCGGCGGTCGTGTCGGAGACGAGGAATGCGTCGGTCGCCAGCAGTGTGGAAGGTAAGGGGGAGGCGGTAGTGGTGGGGGTGTCCATGATTATTGTTTTATATTTATTATTATTTTTTTTTAATTGTTGTTTTATTATTTTTTTTTGGGGGGGGGATGTATTTTGTATTTTGTATTTTTTATTTTTTTTTTGGGGGGGGTTATTTTTTGTATTTTGTATTTTTTTTTTTTTTTGGGGGGGTATTTTGTATTTTATTCACTGTTTTATTTATCTGTTTTTTTTCTTTGTTGTTGTTTTATCTTTTTTTGTTTTTGTGCTTTATTATTCCTTATTATTTATATAGTTTTTTATTTCTTTGTTGTTTTGTTTTATCTTATTTTATTATTTCTTATTTATTTACCTTTTTTCTCTCTTTTGTTGTTCTATCTTATTTTTTTTGTATTTTGTATTTTATTATTTCTTATTCATATTACTTTTTTTTGTATTTTGTAATCTTATATTTATTTCTTATTCATTCATTTGCCCTCTTCGTTATCGCCTCTCATCCGCCGATGCCTCTCTCACCCCTCCAACTCTCTCACCCCTCCCTCTCTCACGCCCGCTCCCTCACTCACAGCCATCCCACTCTGCACCCATCCCTCTCTCAACGCCCGCTCCCTCCTAACCCTGCCCCATCAACCCTCCTCTCTCACCCCGCTCCTCTCTCATCCTCCCTCTCTCACCCCCGCCCTCTCTCCCCCTCCCTCTCTCACCCCTCCTCTCTCACCCGCTCCCTCTTCACTCCCGCCCTTCTCTCACCCCTCCTTCTCTCAACTCCCTCTCTCACACGGCCCTCCTTCTCTCACCCCGTCCTCTCTCACCCCTCCCTCTCTCACCCTCGCCCCCCCCTCTCTCCACACCCCTCCTCTCTCACCCCGCCCTCTTCTCACCCTGCCCTCTCTGCCCCCCTCCTCTCTCAACCCCCGCCCCTCCTCTCTCACCCCGCTTCCTCTCTCACCCTCCCCTCTCTCACCCCTCCCTGCTCATCACCCTCCTCACCCTCCCTCCTCACCCTCTCATCACCCCTCCCTCTCTCATCACCCCTCCTCTCTCACCCCGCCCTCTCTCACCCCCCGCTCTCTCACACCCCCGCCTGCTCTCACCCCCTCCCTCTCTCCACCCCCTCCCTCTCTCACTCCCCGCCTCTCCCTCCCCTCACCTCGCCCTCTCTCACCCCCCCTCTCTCACCCCTCCTCTCTCACCCCGCCTCCTCACCCTGCCCTCTCTCACCCCCGTCTCTCCCTCACCCTCGCCCATCTCTGCACCCCCCTCCTCACCCCGCCCTCTCTCACCCCGCTCCTCTGCTCACCCCTCCCTCTCTCACCCCCTCCTCTCTCTCACCCCCCCTCTCAGCCCCCTCCCTCTTCACCCTCTTCAACCTCCACCC